TTTTTTTTTTTTTTTTTTTTTTTTTTTTTTTTTTTTTCTCTTCCCCTCCTCATTTTTGCACTTCTGATTCTCTCCCTCATTCTGCTGGGAGTAATGAGCAAGTAACAGGATGGGAACTTATCTGCTATGGCCTTAAACTGTTGAAGGCCATGAATGTGTATTTTGAAAACACTGCTCTATCTATTCTTCTGAATTGCTGTATTTGCTATATTTGCCACGTCTTTATCTGTTTTATTTATTATTAGAGCCAGGATACAAGGCTAAGTGCAAGATTGATCTTCTCCCACAGAGTCATTTCATATTCTTAGGTACTTACTTCAGTAATCATCTATGTGGCACTGCTTGATTTGTGTCGTTATTTCAGAATCCATTTTCATGTGCCAGTAATTGGTTTTCAGTAGTGGATGTCAGGGTAGTCCTGACTCTAGTCTCCAATCAGATCAGTTTTAAGTAGAAAGTATACATCTTCATTATGAATGACTGACAAGCATCTCAAAATGGGAGGATTTTAAAACTTTACAATAGGTTTTTAACACAGGGATAGGAACTTGAGGAAAAACAAATTTTCTCCAAGTTTGAGTGGAATTTCAGCAACAAAATTACCTCCACTTACTGTTGTCAGCAGGCACTCAGATCCTTCAAGAAAGGATATAAAATTCCTTCAGTATAGCTGCTTTCTGATCATTTTTGTAACTATGGTTATATACGTGCTCATCTGTTTTTCCTCATTCAGAAGATTGTCCATAAGGGAAAGGCAACTTGCTTATTCATGCACTGGTTTTCTGGAGCTTGAGATGTCCATCATTGCTGAGACAGTGGTATTCTTTGACGACAAGGAGCAAGGTGTCAACCTAGAAGAAATAATTTGTCCACAGACCTTTCTTCATGTGCTCTATCTCTAGTTTTCCAGCTGACAATGTCAAGTACAGTAAACAAATCTACTAAGTTACTAAGCTGGTAGCATTTCCCACTCCCACAGTCTAAGGTTGTTTCTAAAGCTGCTGCCCAGTTGCCTGCCCTATCAACAAAAACCACCCTGGAATTTGAAGAGAGAATAACAACTTGCCTCTCAGTGTGAATAGTTAAGACTAATGAGACCCAATGCACTGTCAACATTGTCAAGTTTGGTACTCTGGACACCAGATAAGATGGGAATTTAAGGAGATTAAAGGATGTTCTCCTCCAAGTCTTCTTTTTCCAGAAACTCCCTTTAAGACTGAGGGTTTTGCAGGACAGGAAACCCTAGGGTAGCTGGAGAGAGGTGGAGCTGTCTCTACAGTCTGCCTGGATGAGGTGATGAGGTGTACTGAGCCATACATCAGCTTGAAGCACTGGTACAATAACAGCACTGGACATATTGGGAATGCTTTTCTGAAGGCAGACTTAGGCAGGAATACTCAGAGATGTGCCTGTACTGGAAGGGATTGGCCTTATCCTAATAGTGATATTTAGACTGAGGTTATTGAGCATTGATTACAGAAGATGCGGCTAAGTAAAAGATTTCTCTCAAGTTATTTTTTGGATACCTTATTCAGTCTGTGGCTTGAGGGAGTTCTTCACCTGAGCCATTACTTCCTTAGGAGGTTCAGGGCAAGCAGACAATACCTGTGAGAGCTGTACTGGATCCAAGAGAGCAAATTTGATTGTGATGCTTGGATCTATATTTGTACACACAAAAATGGACTGAGATATATAGTTTCTCCCTCACAGGATGGGATTAAATTTCAGTACCCTCTTAAAAAAGGAAGTTATGGCTGAATCTATGATTCATCCAAAGAAGGAAAGAATAAACCCAGTACACAGAGGTAGAAGCAGCAGTAGATTAAAAACTCCATTAGTCTGCTGGAATTTGGCACAGATAGAGCACTCGAGGGCTGAAAGCTAAGTATCTCTGTATCTAAATGAACATTTAAAGGATGATGCGGTATAGAAGACATTCTTAGAGAATGCTTAATGTAAGTTGGGGATAGAGCAGAAAAAGGGGAAGGCTAGCAGCGGGCCTTGAAGTTCATTTGCTGACCCGGAACTTTTCCTCTTCTCCTTCAAGTGAAGGATTTACAGTTGGATAGAGGATTCAGAGAGTAGGCCACTGACAGAAATCTCTTTTCCCTAACCTATTGTCCTTATTTGGATTTAGCAAAGCATCTCAAAAAGTACTGAGGCTGTCCAGTTGAGAAGCATTCCTGGCTGGGAAGCAGCCTTCTGGACAAGCTGCTGGTAGCTGCATGCTGGCCCTATAAGACAGGACTAACAAAACCTATGTGTAATTTTTACTTTTTTTTTTTTTTTTTAATGGAAAACATGTGCCAGTGTTGTCCTTTGCCTCAGTAACATAGCAATCTCCCCTTTGACAAGCAAGAGACAGAAGAAGTTAGAGCTAAATAAAAGTGAAAGAGAGGAAAAGGACACTTAGATCTTAATAGACTTTTGAATGTCTAGAGAGACAGAAGCTGAGGGAATCACACTTGTATAGGAGAGACAATCTACAGGCTTTCACAAACATTGTGAGTAGATGTGGGAAGCAAATGCATTTCTCAAGTGATAGGTTAGCAGCTAGTAAGGAATTGAAACAATATTCTCATATACAAAAGTGCTTTTAAAATAGACACCTGATGTTTTGGTTTTTTTTATTTATTCTTAAACAAATGCAGAGTCACAAAATGGTGTTGCCTCCAGCCAATTTAATATTATAAAATGTTAGTGACTTGGGTCTTATGATTGATGGACCACAAGCTTCTAGTCTTATTGAGGAAATTCTTCACTAAAACAAAGCTCCAGCTAGATAAGCCTACTGGATTTAACCAATTATTTTGAGAAATGAGTTTTGTCTGTCTGCGTGAATTGGACTGGAAGTCTGTTTTCCCTGTCAAAAAAGAATAATTCTTATAACTTTAAATGCTATGGCAATTTAAATGTTACGATGTTTCACAATCATGTATTTAAACACAGAAATATGTTTATTTACCCAAATGCAACAGAGGAAATGATTCCAGCCCTCAGGTTTTGAATTCCCATTTAAATATGTGAACATCAGTTCACAACTTAGATGTTTGTGTATCTATGTACCTTCAAAATACTCATATTTCATAGGCTTTTTCACATTAATATTCACCAACAGTATCACAAAAGTTCTTTTTCTTTTACATAACTGTAAGCAACAGTAATTCTAGAAACACTAGAGGAAAAAAAAAGCATAGCAATGTCCACAGTTACAAGAAAAAGTGCACATTACTTGGTCACAATCACAGTCATTACTTGGAAAACTATATGTAACAAGTAGATATAAAATATCACCGATGCCTTAAACTCATTGTCAAAAAATGGAATTACATAAAATTTTGTACATGAAATAAGGCAAATTTAGGAATGCACAAGAAAATTGTTATTCAACAAAAGCCAAACAACAGAACAGATATTACAGTAAGCATAAACTAAATTACCTTTTCTATATACTTAAAAATAAACCTGCCATAGTGCACAAAGAAAACACCATTAATGTGTAATCAATATTATAAAATAAGAAATAGAGGGGTTGGGAAGAGTGGGGGGTGAGGGAGAGAGAAGAGTTTCAATATAGTTGCAGCTGCATCCATTTACATTTTTGTACAGTTTTTAGCTAGGCCTGGGCGTTATACAAATCATTCCAGAAGTGTCAGTGACCTTACTCCATAAGAATTTTGTTTAAATTAAGGAAAAAATAATAAATACACACAAGAGTGCAAATTTTCAGATTGTCACTTGCAACCTCTTAACATTCATCACCTATATCCAATCACAACTCGAGGGACTTGTCTAGGACAGCAGCGGTGATCATGGAGTTAGATGAGCTCACTGTAAGAAATCAACTTCTCGTTTTGTTTTCTCAGTGATATGTTGTTTTTCTTTTAAAAAACCCTCAACTTTTTATTAATTGCTAGTAAAGCTGCAATATATTACAGAATGGAGCTGAGAATGTTATGAACGCAGGAAATGCATGCTTCCTTTGGAAGGTATCCTGTAGATGACAATTTACAGTACACAGGGGAGAATTATCCAGCATCAAGAGTTACTCGTAGAAAGAATATGAAGTTGGGGAGAAGGGCACAGTCAGGGGGTCAAGAGAGGAAGGGGGACTTACAATAGCTCCTCAAAACATTTTCAGGACCAGTGAAAAAGTTTACCAAAGTAAAAATGAAAAATCTTGAATGAAAACAAAAAAATCTCTTGTTTTGCTTTTTATAAAAATTACATTTTTTTAAAATACAAGATCCTTTTAATTGCAATTGTGCCCTGTAGCAACAGGACATTTGGCAACAGTTTGCCATATACTGCAGCTTTAAGTCCAATGAGTCAGTATCACATTCCACTAATATTGCACTTGGATCTTGAACCATTTTTCAAAAAAAACACCACAGCATCTTCTGTTTCCTCCACGTGTTAGAACGAGTTAATTTCTAGCCACTGTTTCGATATTTATGCTGACACACTAAGACAAAAGCAATAGGCTGGACACAGTAAAGTACCTCAGAAATACCAGAGGTCGAAGTTCACTTGAAGCACCTTAACACATCACTTTATGGATCAAGAACAGTGTGGCATTATGGTAATTAACTCTCCTAAAAGACTGCGCGGTAACTGAAGTGTGTGCTCTGGGAAATCAAAATGTCATTAGTGGAAACTCTGAGATAAGACCAGGCCGGTGTGTAGGTCACGTGACTCAGTTCTGCTGCAAAATCAGGTTTTCCAGTTCATCTGCAGAACGCAATAAAAAGGCAGCGGATTCCCGGTACCCTGCCACCAGCTGCCTTACAGCGTTGATTTCAGTGGGGCTCAGCTGGGGCCTGGAGCTTGTACTGCTGGAGGAGCCTGAGCTGCTTGCTAACTGCCTCTTCATACTGAGATCTGTTGGACCTGCAGGCAACAAAGGGAAAGAAAAGAAGGCTCAGATCCTGCTGCCAGAGACATTTCACCACCACAGGTTTGTAGTGACAAAGCCACAGCAGCAAAACTGTGGATTTGTACTCTCAGTTGAGTGCCAGAGAGAAGCAGCACATACAAGTAACAGCCCAGTTACTATTCCCTTGACAGGAATCACTGAGATTTGTTTTCATCTATGACAGGAATCCTTAAAATTCTACTCACGTGACACAAGTCCTCTGCCAGCAGGAACTTAGCCTCTGGGGTATCCCAGCAGTGCAGTCTGCTTGACCTGACACTGATGGGATCTGCTGCTGGCAGGCAGGCCATCTGCACACTTGCATTCATTATCACAGCGTACTGAACTTACACCCTCTAGATATCTATTTTCACAACTTTCTGTTGCTTCAATTAGCACATGGCCAGATTGTGAATCTCTTACTGCCACAGGTAACTGGTCATTCACTTGAATAGCCCCGATGCCATGTGTTAAATAGCCAGTCATGAATGACCTGATGAGGTTGGTGACAATCTGGCTGATATAGGTAGAAACACACTGTAAATTTCTTGTGGGCTGCATATAGCCGGCAATATACTGCAAGGACCCTGTAAGGTCTCAGCACTGGCAGGAGAATCTGCAGCAATCACCATGTTCTGCTGGCAGCTTATCCACTGTACCACTGTGTTCTCATCAAAGAATGCTCTCAAGAACGTGTTTGCTACAGCAGAAGACAGCACTCCTGAGGGGAGACTGCAAATTACCACAGTTAAAGCAACCTGCATGCATGAAGTCCACCTTTCTGGGGAAATTCCCAGGACCACAGCTAAGGGATGTGATGCTTTGATGAGGTGTCTGCCTTTTTCAACAGAGCACTATTCAAAGTTGTTTTTTCTTTTTTTTTTTTTTTTGCCTGGAGATTTATACAGGCAAAATTGGACTCAGGTCCTTTTTAAACATAAGGATGTCTATCATAGAATCATATCACAGAATCTTTTGAGTTGGAAGAGACCTTTAAAGGACATTGAGTCCAACTCCCTTGCAATGAAAAGGAACACCTACAGCCACATCAGGTTGCCCCCAGCCTCACCTTAAAGGTGTCCAGGGATGCAGCATCTACCACCTCTCTGGCCAACCTATTCCAGCACTTCACCTCCTTATTGTAAAAGACTTCTTCCTTATATTTAGACTAAATCTCCTATCTTTTCATTAGAAACCATTTCCTCTTCTGTCACAACAGACCCTGATAAAGAGCCTGTTCCCTTCCTTCTTATAGCTCCCCTTTAGTTAATGAAAGGTCTCTATGAAGTCACCCTGGAGCCTTCTTTTCTCCAGGCTGAACAGCCCCAGCTCTCTCAGTCTGTTCTTGGAGGGTGGTGTTCCATCCCTCCCATACCTGTGTAAGTAAATATCAGGAAGTTTAGTATATGCAAACCTGGATAAACAGCATTCATTCACTTGGCAATGTAGCAAATCTATACTTTTATCAGGCAGACAATCAGCCTAACCCCATATTAATCTTCTGTGAACTGAGATTAAGTTATCCACAGCAGTACATCTTGCTTTCTTATGAGATAAATGTCACTGTTCAGTTTCATCTGGAAAAACTGTCAGTACCCAAGCTTTCTCATCACTGGCCCACTGGATACATGTTTCTCTCTAAAGAGATTGGAATCATTATAAAATCTAGCATATTCAACTTCAGATTACTAACCACACCAATTTGTATTCCAGAGATGTACATAAATAGTCTCATCAGAACCACAGGATTCAAAAACGTATTTGCTGGATTAAGCACTACTGCCAAGAGTTGCTCCAATTTCCAGAAGTAGAAAATCTGGTCAAAACCAAGAATGTTTTCTTTCTTTTATGTTTATGCAACAGTATGGCTGAGACCACAAAGAACGCTGAAACTGCCATGTTTCCATTTTCCCTGAAGTTAATGAAAACCTCCCCTCTAGTGAAAGGAAAATGGGACTACATAAAGAAACTACTCAAACCAAAAGGGTCAGCTTAGATCTTCCCAGTTCCTGCTATGTAACTGGCATGAACACTACTTAGCCTTACAACTATATTATCCAGTTTTACACTAGCATCAATGAATTGACTTTAAATGACTTCCAGAACACAAAGGATAAATAAGAGGACAGTGACCTCAGCGAATGTTTCAGTGCTAACATACACTACAGGCAAACTATCACAGTGGGAAGAAGCACAGAGGACACTTCCAAGTAAAACCTTAAACCAGCATAGAGAAGGGTATACTAATCATAAAGTCAGCTGGAATGAACAGTGCTGAGAAGCCATTAAAGACTTGTATATTTACTGAGGCAGCAGTGGAAAAGCTACCACTGACATATTGAGGGCATTATGCTCCAGGTAAACCTGCTTTTAACTTTCATGCTCTTGCCTTGATTCTCATTCATGTCATAGCCTAAAATGCACACACAATACAGGGCAGAATGGAGTGCCTGTGGCAGAGCACAGGTTTTTTTTTTCTGAAAGGAAACTGAAGGGCTTTTCTCCTTAGTAATCTAGATTTTAAGTGGTTGAAGAGAATGTTATTAGAATCCTCACAAATGTAACAATGTACTCACAAGTGCAACTCCCCACAAATCTGTAGTCAAAATGCAGACCGGGTCCTGTGCTCCTAGATATCCCAATTAACGATTATGAAGACAGCTCTCTAATTCCTCAAAATAGGTGTCTTTGAATCATAGACTCATTAAGGTTGGAAAAGACTTTTAAGATCATCTAGTGCAGCCATCTACCAACCACCAATATTGTTGTGTGCAAGTGCAGTTAAGAAATTAATTTCACTGGGCTACTTCAAACTTTTTTTTTTAATTATTATTTATAAGTAGGAGGAAAATAGGTTTTTCATTACCAAGGCAAGTTTTGCTTTGCTCTCAACAAGTAAACACTGTCCTTCTTCCCCTCAAAGAAAAGCATCCCAGGCAATAAAACAAAGAAACCCAGATACACAGAAAAGAGTTCTTGGCTATGAATATACCTTGCCTTCCCAGGAAGAGAAGCTACACGTGCTGTCAGAGAACCAAACAGATGGAAAAGAAGCCATGATGTGAGGACAAGGACTTCAGTTCTTTTAATTTTGCGATGTGACCCCTATGCCTCACCTCCAAAGCTTGCCCATGACAGGCCAAGCTTCATATCTGGGACAATACCTCACTCAGACACTCATCTCATGACGTATTACACTGGATTCATTTTTTAATAGCTATGATAGACACTGTCTATATTACAGTTACTGGCAATATTACAGATTATTAAAAGATTGTTCAGGCTGTTTTATGCTAAAAGTATTTTAGCTTATCTGTAGTTCTATCAGTCATAACTAGTCCTTCAAGCAGGGAATCAACTTCTTACAAGAGTAGACAGTGACACAAGGGGGAATGGTTTTAAGCTCATGGAAGAAAGGTTTAGATTGGATGTCAGAAGGAAGTTCTTCACAGAGACAATGGTGAGATGCTGGAACAGGCTGCCAAGAGAAGTTGTCGATGCACCATTACTGGAGGTGTTCAAGGCCAGGTAGGAGGGGCCCTGGGCAATCTGATCTAGTACCACACCTGGAGGGAAGGTTGGGGATCCTACCTGTGACAGGGGGGTTGGAACTTGATGATCCTTGGGATCCCTTACAACCCAAGCCATTCTATGATTCTAGGATAAGGAATAAATGCATCTTACTCTTCTAGTATTGATTTTCCTGTGTAATTTTGTTTAAATTAGCTATTGAAAAACCTAAAACTTAATACATTTCCACCACATTCCTTCACCCAGGCAAATAAATCACATAAATCATAAAATAACTGGTTACAGCACCCATTTCATATACCTCCATCTCCAGAAGCATAACTAGAGATGCCTAAATATGAAGAAAATTGAGTAGCTTATGCACTATTTCTCCTAAGTAGAAGTATTTCCCCTTCATATGCTTAACAGTACTTATTATCCTGCCAATCTTCACAAGAATGGGGAAGTGTATTCTTAAATAGTGGGGAAAGCCTAATCTGAATTTTTTGCAATAAATTTTGTAGTGTTAAGGTCCTCCAAGGTAGTACTGCATGATTTAGCATATTATTCCCCACCCTAGAGTATTTCAGGACAATTAAAAATCCTATATGCAACCATCAACAGGTTCCACAGTGTCCGTGGCAGTGTGCAAGCAAAGATCAAGCACACACTGTAAAGGCGAAAACTGGATATTTACTTCATCTATTTTCCTTAGTGCATGAGTTCAACTCATTATTCACCGCCCATGTTCCAATAGCTGCGCTACGTTCTCTTAAACAGTGGGTTAAACATATTCACAAAGCAGATCCTTTCCTTTATAATCTCTGCAGTATACTTTCTGAAGACTCCGAGATACTTTCCCTCTGCCCCTTGGAGAGGCCACCTGTTTGACACTTGAACACAGAAATATTGTACACTGTACCTCAGTCCAGTTACACAGACCTAATTTCCCCTGTGAAGTGAAACAGTTCCTGCTGGAATCACATCAAGCTAAGTAGGAGAACTCTGAAAATCCACTCTTCATGTGTTAGACAACTACTTATCAAGTTAGCTGCTGGGAGTATCTGCCATTAAATACACTGTGGGCAAGTGGCTTTTCTATAAGTTGCAGGTCTGAAATGAAGCTGGTTATTCCCTCATGCACTACTTTCAGCAAAGCAATTTGTATTAAATTTCAAAATATGAGTCAGACATAGAGGTACTATTAGTGATTGCCTAGACAGTATCACCTGCCCCAGCAAAACTCCCTTTAGAATTGTATGCTGTGTTTCATTGCCCCCTACTACAATGCTGTAGCTAAATAGACAGAAATCTTATCATTACTGCTGAAGTAAAATCAATAAATGAATAATAAATATGTCAACGATTCTTTCAGTATCTCTAATAATTATTAAGAATAATAAGTCATTTTTTAAAAGTTGAATGATTTTAAGCATCTAAGCTTCTATACTTTTATTAGCAGCTAAGGAACCTCTTTCAAAGAGTTTTTTTGTGTCACACTTCTCCACTTTTTTTCCCCCATAAAAGGCTTCAGAAGAATCATAGAATTACAAGGTTTTGGAAAAGACCTACAAGATCATCCAACCATCCTTCCACTACCATTGCTACCACAAGCAAGAAGTGAATATTGTACTGGATTCACCCCTATTCCCACAGAAATAAACAAAAAAAAACACATCAAAACATGCAGCTTTCCCAAAATCGGATGTATTTACTATTATAGGACTGTTTCATTGCAATATTATGCATTTGTCAATGTCTCTTGTCTTCCTACCTCTAAACAGAACAGATGTGCCTTATACTATTCTTATAAGTGTCAAGAGATCTTAGATCGGGAAATCAGGGACCAATGCAATGGGCCTTTCAAGCTTCTTTCTCCCTCCTACACCCTTCCCTCTGGGAAACATATTTTTAGATAATTTAAACTGTTGCCTGAGAATAGAGATGTCAAAATACAAAAACACCTACAGCCATTGAACATCGTGCATTTTCAACAAACACACTGGTTTTCAGTGACAGGATTATATGAGACACTCCAGTAACATTTTATATCCATCACAGGAGATTAGTTACGTAGTATACGCTTGTCTTGCCTGTCTCCTGGACTTTGTACAAAGGCAGAAAAGATACCGTCAGTTTAATTCACAGACATTTCATCACAGTTCTTACGGTGGGAGCAAGACAGTACTTGCAAATGCTATGCAGGTGATAATTTGAAGAGTAGAGGAAGAAATATGAGGATAATCTTAATACATAATTCAGACAGCATTTCATGGAGGGAAATTCCCACTTCTGCCACAACGTATGTCAATTTCTCCCAGCACTGCATTTTGCCTTTTTGAAATGGAACTAAGCACGCCCTCACAGATTCCTAACTGTATGTCTTGTTCTGCATCTCTGTGATAAAGAGAGGCTCCTCTGCCTTTCCTTTCTAGCTCCACTTTGATTTCAGAAGGATAGCACTGAAAACACAGAAAACTGTACAGCAGTAAACACGTAAAGAAATGCTGGAGAAGGCAACTGTGTGGTTGCCTGTTCACTCCCTGCATCATGGCCAGCATGCTGTGGGTGACCCAGTCAGCACTTTAAGAACTGGCTTGACTCCTGATATTCTCAGTTGGCCTTTTTTTTTTTTTTTTTTTTTTTTTGTCTTTAATTACTTATTTCTACTTTATTACTAAGAAACCTCTACCAAACATTCAAATGTCAAAGTTTCACAGACGATAATCTTTACAGCTGCACCAAATCTGAACACATTTTCTCAGAACAGAGAAAATCCCCATGACAACTGCCTCTGCCAAGTGTTGTTTGTGGGCCATTTCATAAAGGTGCTGGTGCTCCTTATAAGCACATAAATTGGCACACCTTCCCAATAACCTGTGGCTAAATTACTTTTGATGAAACAACTTCAAAAATTTTCAGCCTACAGGTGACCTCTGGATGGAAAATTTCAAATTCCATTGAATTTCAAGTTCAAATAGTTAAAGCTTAGCAAGGTTTATAAACAAGGAAAACAAGTTTGCATAAAGGGAAAAATGGAAAAGACATACAGTAATTTTCATAGAATGGCTTGGGTTGGAAGGGACCCCAAGTATCACTAAGTTCCAACCCTCCTGCCACAGGTAGGGCTGCCATCCACTAGTTCAAGTACTAGATCAGATTCCCCTGTATGTCAGTAACAAATATCAACAGAGGTTAACTTGGACTGAGTATGAGATAGATTTTACAAAACTACTACAGAGATCCTGCAGCCTGAGCTGATTGGATAATATAGTAGACTTTTCAGGAGCTTGAAGGACTAAGAAGGCTGATTTGCATGTAGGTAAAGCTGAGAATGGCCTACAGAGCAGGCCATTTTCATCATGGGGCAGCAGCGGGAGATGAGCAGAGTGACTTGCTGGGCAACAGAAACTTTGGCCAAGGTGTGAAGGCCTGCCTGAGGGAAAGGGGAATGCAAGAGACTTGTGTGGATTCAGGATCTGGTCAGAGTGTGAATTTATTAGGACTTGCCAGGAAGACTTACCTGAGTTGGAAGGAGACTGGACGTTCGTGGAGCCTGGGATGCAATGCTGAGTTGTGGCTGTAGTGGAAGTTGGCTGCAGATCTGTGTAGAGAAACAGAAGAACTGCTTTGTCGTACCATAATACAAGGTAGTGTCTTGGGTGAGTCTTGCAGACACAGTTAGAAATAGCTGACATTTCTGCCTGGAAAATTTGACAACAGAGAAGTTGTTCCCAGATCACCTAGAGGAAGCCCAGCAGTGGCACTAGAAACATATTCTCTAATGGAAAATGGGCCTTGGGAAACAAAGTGGTTTGGTAGACATCCAGTCCTGACAGCTGACAGACACCAGGAGAGAATCATCATCATAGAGTGGCCTGGGTTGAAGAGGACCACAGTAATCATCTAGTTTCAACCCCCTTGCTGTGTGCAGGGTCAAATGATAATCCATCAGACAGAGACATCCGGGGTGTTCCTACTTCTGTGGGTCTCTGACAAATGATAGTGGCAATTAAATATTTTGCTCCCAATGGAGTAGGTTGTTTCCTGCCCTCAAGCTGGATATCTCTCCAGGTATGTGGAGCTGGGTCATATAAAGCCTCTGTGGCTGGCAAGGCAATTTCATTCACACTGAGATCATTCTGGAGCTTTTCTTTTCAGCTCTGTAAGCAGGAACTTCATCAAACTTAAACAAGAATCATGGAAAGCCACACTTCTCGACAAGTAGTTCGCCTTGAGCATCTAGAAGAGTCAACAGTTTCTCTCCAACCTGTGTACAGGCTGAAATAGGCTCTGACAACCTGCAGATTAGTTGCTGTTCAGATGAAGCTTTCAAGCTGAGCTGGTTTGCATAGAT